TTTAATGGGCAGTCATTTTCCCTTCACCCTTTGTAATTTTTGAGAGGATCCGAGGCGTGTGTTATGATAACGAGGCATTGCAATCAATTGAATTGATTTTCTCTTGATGTTTTTTTTCTATAGAGTTTGGGTGGGGAAAAATATAGCGTGTGCGGATTTTTTTTGGAGGTTGGTGCTAGTCTCGCCAGGCCCACCTCGTCCCCTGCCGAGCCTGAAGAGTTGCACGGAGAGATGGTAGACCAGATGGCATCCGTCTCGGGGTTCCATCCAAGCCGTGATCGCAGCGTCCAATGCGACGACGCATCTGATACGACGGGATCGCCGAGAAACCATTTTCCATGTGTAAGTCGGCTTTGCCCAAGTTGCTAGGAACACCGCTTGCCCTAGGCGAAGCCGCTTGACAAGCTGCAGCCTCACCCACCACTCGGCGAGGCAGTGTGTTTGACTTCAGATGCCGTCTAGAGCGATTCATGCATATCCCGCGCGCCCACAGGAGGGAAATGCGCTTGTTTCGCCGGCCGCTTTATGCAACTCTATAAATACAAAGAAAGACGGCTGCCCTGTATCAGAAGCTTGGGCGTGACTCGCCGGCTGTCGAGGGCCCTCCACAAGAGCCTCCACAATGATCCGCCTCCCCCACTCTGGAAAGGTGCCAAGGGGCATGAATGTTGGTGCTGTGAAACCGTCATCCCGCTCGGCAAGCGCACCCAACCCCAGCAAACCCTATCGGGAAAAGACTTGTTCGTCATGGTCGAAGCGATGCCAAGGGGTGACACCGCCCACCCTTGCAGGCCAGGGGTGGTGGTGGCCTGGCTTCCCGACGGGAGCTGCGCAGATCTGCCCCTGAGCGAGCACGGGCATTGGCGCTTGTCGAAGCGCCAGGCACAAACCGAGGAGCCGGCCGACCATCAGATGGATATAAGAGTCGCGGGCCCGACTGCTCGGGCTGGTGGGAAAGAAGGAGGTCCTCACCACCACCGGCTTTTCTACCTGTTCCGACCCCGAGGGCTTTTCTCTTCGAGTTCCATCTCTTTTCTTTTCTTTTCCTTCTTTCTGTTGGGACTGGCTTCCTCAGTTCCGTTCTCTCCTTAAAGCCACTCCTTTTGTTTTCTTGCAACCAACCATGCATCTCCAAGGCCTCTTCACCTTCCTGGCCCTCGGGTCGCTCTGGGCCCCCGGCCTGGCCCTGCCCCAGCCCCAGGCTTCCAAGGCCCGGGCCCGGGCCCCGACCCCGAAAGCCACCCAGGCCCCCAACCAGGCGCCGCCCTCCAAGAACCCGTCCAACCAGCCGCCCCTCAACGCCACCGCCGCCTGCACGTCGGAGCCCCTCACGCAGGACACCTGGACTAAGCTGAAGCTCAACGATGCCCTGACCGCGGCGGCGGCCAAGGTCAAGGGCACCTCCAACACGGTACAGGAGCTGGCCGGCACCTTTGGTGCGCCCAACTTTTTTTGTGGCCTCGACAGCTTCTGCAACGCCGGCCAGCCGTGCACGCCCGTGGAGCTGCCGTCGTGGTACATCCTGGTGGCGACGCAGAACTGGAACAGCTACATGAACTCGCTCAACACGGCCATCACCTTCGCCGCCAGCATCCTAAGCCTGCAGCTGCCCGCCATCTCGAACGACTTCATCACCCAGCCGCGCGACGACGTGACGCCGCTCAACAACATCCTCAGCATGTTTGCCACCATCCTGGGCGCCATCCCCATCACGGGCGACATCAAGGCCGTCGTCTCGGGCGGCTCGCAGGCCATCAAGTTCATCTCTGGCCTCACCAAGCCGCCCGCGCAGCCCGACAAGTTCCTTAGCTGGAGCGGCATCGCCGCCTCGCTGGGCGACGTCGTCAAGACCTACCAGGCCTCCGTCTCCGCCGGGCTCTCGGCCACCCTCAACGCCCCCATCGCCGACAAGGCCGCGGGGCTCGCCACGGTCCTGGCCGGCGGCGAGTTCCTGGGCGTGCGCCAGAACGTGACCGAGGGGGACGTGTCGGGCCGCGTGCTCGACGCCCTGACCGTCTACGCCGTCGGCCTGGCCCTGACGTCGCAGAGGGTCTTCCTCAGCCGCGTCAAGGGGCTCGACGAGTGCGAGGTCCGCCAGGACGAGGCCGTCGAGATGTGCACGGGGCCCGACGCCGACGGCCGCTTCACGCAGAACCTGCTCCTGCGCGCCGACGGCGAGAAGGCCTTTGCCGCCACCGACATCGCCAAGAAGATGGCGAGCAAGTACGGCATCCAGAAGGAGCAGTACATGCTCGGCGTCGCAAAGTGCTTCGACGAAAACGGCAGCAAGCAGCTCTTCAACCCCTTCGCCGACCAGGCCATCCCCATCGACAGGAACACGCCATGCCTGTTCAACTTGCCCGTTTGCGACTCGTTCCCTGGTCGAAGGGGCGGGATCGTGGAGGACTGCCGCAAGAAAGGCCTTAACCTTTAGGTCTTTCTGGCTTCTTTTTTTTTCTTTTTCTCTTACTTACTTCTTACTGTACTGTTTACGTCTCTACTCCCATAATCCACCTCTTCAGATACCCAAAAATCTTGATTGCTGTAAACTCTCATCTCCTTCTCAATGCGAACAGCCCGCCGTGAGTTCCTTGCCTTGACATTGTCGCACTTTGGAGCGGGTGGACCCCAATATCGCCCAAAACCAGCCGCGGGCAGGGCTAGCGGAGCCTTAAGCCGTCCAGCTAGCCAGAAAGGGGATGGTTGAGAAGCGAGGGCGATGTTTGACGGGAGTGTTCGTACTTTCTGTCCTCTTCATGTGCTGGTGTGGTGCAATGAATGGAGGGGTGCCGTTCTGCAATTATCATTCGAGAGAGTGCGCACTACGCCCTGCGCTGGTGTGAAAGCTCAGCCAAGCCGTCATGGTAATAACCCTCTGTTTTGGCTACGATGGATGCTACGTTGCCTATACATGGGCGACACCTCCAAACTGGGCATCAATGCCGCAGCCTTTCCCCGCCCAGTTACTATGTAATCGAAAGCAGCCTACCCGAGCGCGCCACGTAGTAGCGCAAGTCGGCGGCTTGCAGGGATCGCGTACATGAGGCTTTCAGCTGAATGCTTCGCCTCTTTTACAGGCCCTGTCCTGCTCTTTGGGGCCTGTACCATCAGCCGCAGGCTGCGTCGGGAGCGTAGACGACAGATGGAAGGCAGGCTTTGTGTGCCGCCCACCATATCCCTCGGGCGAGGGCCAAAGAGGAAGGGGGAAAAGGACGGGAAGTTCCGTTTGCCCAAGTGTCCACGGCTCAATACATATATCGGAAGCTGCTGCTCCCCTACCTAGCTGAGACGGACGTCCTTGGTTCCATCCCCATCCCATCAATAGACGACCCCTTCACCCCACCCAAAGCACCAGCAGCAACAACAACAACACCACGTCCAGCATCATGTCCACCAACACCTCATCCTCCCTCGCGGGCGGCCAGGTCTCGGGCCATGTCGGCTGGGTGCCGCCGCCACGAGGGCGCGGCACAATCAACATCATCTGGAGTTGCCTCACGGTGCTTCTCATCTGCTCCTACAAATGCCTGCACCTCAACATCCCGCACGAGGACGAGCTCGAAGCCGGCTGGCATAAGTTGTGGGGGGCGATTCCCTACTGGCCCGAGAGGCCGGCTCTCCGCCGGCTCCTCCGCAAGGTCAAATGGATGGCCATCATCATCATCGCGCCGGAATTCGTCGCCGGGGTTGCGGCCTTCGAGCTCCAACAGGCACGCAAGGATTTGGCCGACGCCAAAAAGCTAGCACCGGATTTCGCCAAATGGTCGCGTGAGAGGGACGAGCTACGTAGGTGCGGGGAGTGCTGGCATAACCCTCCCGATTCACAGCCTAGGAATAGCGAGCTCACCCTAAGTCACGCATTTTATGCCCGCATGGGGGGCTTCGTGCATGTTACGCTTGACAATGACGAGAGCGGCGGGCCCCGGATGAAGAGAGCGAGGTTGGAAAGCGTCGAATCGTACTGTAAGCTGTGGTTCCATACACTCTCCCGCGCTCGCTTGGAAGCTTTTTTTCTTTCTTTTTTTCCCGGTTTATTATCACTAACATGATGTTCAACCAGGCCGATTCCTCAACCAATGCGCCAGCGAGAAACGCGCCGTCCACCTCAAGAGCGAGTCGGACATCCAGGGCCTCGTAAAGTCGGACCACCTAACCAAAGTGGTTGCCATCGCCCAGGCCCTCTACCTCGTCCTCGACTGCATCGCCCGCACGAACCAGGGCCTGCCCATCTCCCCGCTCGAGCTGTCTACCGCGGCCTACGTCCTGGCCGCCGCGGCCATGTACGGCTTCTGGTGGCACAAGCCACAGGACGTTGCGCACGTCACCCAGCTCTGCGGGGGCCCCGAGCCATCGGGCACGAGCTGTTACAAACGAGCCGAGCTAATAGTCGGTGATCATGCCTTCAGTATCGTATTTGGAATCACATCACACCTGGCCCCTTACGTCTTCCACCTCATCGCAGCCACTTTCGGGGGTGTTCATGTGATCGCTTGGCGCTGGGATTTTGGGTCGGACCTCGTCAAGACTATGTGGAGGGTATGCGCCGTGGCGACCTCGGCGACCCCCATTTTTATCTTGTGTATCATTTTGGGCATCAGTCGTTGGCACGTCGACATTCTGGACCTTAGCTGGATTACCTGGATTAAGAGTGTGGCGCAAGCGTGTTGGATAGGGACTACAGTAGGGTTGAGCGTTTGCTACGTCTTCGCGCGGGCAATCATCATTTTCCTTTCCTTTTACACGCTGTTTTCAATGCCTGTAGGAGCTTACCAGACCGTGGCTTGGACGGATTATCTACCTTTTATATCCTAGGACGCCTTTGCCTAAATCAGTACCCCGGATCTGCCCAAATCATCCTCTCATGAAGCCTGGATTTACCTTGGGCTCATGACCCCAAAACTGCCCAAAAGGCCGTGTCCCGGTGTGCTGTCCTGGGAATTCTCTTGGAAAGACCGGCTCTTGTAAAGCTTGCCCGAGAAGGCATGGCCATGTTGTAAGCAGCAGCAGGCAAAATCCCCTCTAGCAGGTGCACCAGGCGGTGCAGCAGCCGGCCCTGCAGCGGGCGCTGTCGAGCCACCTGCCCTGGCCGCTGCACACCTGCACCGGCGTGGGCGGTCGAGGTTGAGAGGAGGCCGGCGAGGATGGCGGAGAAAAGCATATTGGCGGGGTTGAGGGTGGGGTGGGTTGTTGTTTTGGCCGGAGAGAGGAGTGGGAGACGAGGAAGGCAAGAGAGAGAGAGAGGATCGTCGGGGATTTGACTGCGAGTGCTCTGGAGTGCCTTGGAGAGATGGGGGAAAACAAGCCGATTCCGTCGCGGGCCATGATGGGTTTTTATACTCGGGATAAATGCCCTGCTGGCCCAAGGACAGCATCTCGAGGGACGCCGTCGCCAAGGAACGCTCGTTGTCTGCATGACAGGTCTACAGCATGGCAGATCAACTACACGTCAGATCGGGGCTGCAAAGACCCTAACCGCCCCCAACGGGCCGCCGCTGCAGGTGCAGTCGGCAAAGAGCGGTGACCTCGAAAACTTGCCCCTGATCTGCATAATAGTCGGCACATCCGATCTGGCGCCTCCTCCTGCAAGGACGTGGCAGAGCATCGCCGCCGTTACATATCTCCACCTCCAAGGCTGACACCCCGCATTCAGCCGCTAAGGCTTGCGTTTCTTGGCAAATCGGAATCCCAGAACTGGCAGGCGAAGGCGGCCCGCTAATACATTCCAGTATGGCCTCTTGATGAAGACCAGGCAGATCAAGCCCCTCCCGCGCCGCTCCTCACTGTCTAGTTGGCCGCCGAGACAAAGCCTGATCAAGAATAGATATGTGGACATTGGCGTGAAGCATCTTCCAAAACTCTTACTGCCTGGACCTTCGCGGGCATGTGGGGCCTACGGCCAGATCATGTCGCCATGTACGGCTCATGCCGCGTGGGGCCGTTATCTTCAGTTTGTCTTGCTAACCGAGACGGTGTCCCGATCGACAGGGGAAATCATGGGTTCGTAAAGATGGCCCGAGGGCGAGCAGGTGGAAACCGTCATTCAGCAGCCCCTTCGGCACTAGCAAGGAACACGCCAACTAGAAACTCATCCCAGCCTTGCCTTTATAGACGCTGCTCTCCTCTTCAACTCTCCCATGTCCTGGACCTCCGGCTGCAGGGTCGCTGCTCCTCCAGGCTGACCATAATCCGAAACCCGGTGGAGAAGGACGGCAACGCTTGAGGATTTCCACGGCTGCAAGTCCCTCCACGCCGCCGTCCTCGCCAGAACCAAACCCAACAGCAATGCGCTGGCCAGCTGGACGGCCAGCGGAAGCACCAGCCACACCCACTGCACCTGGACAAAGGCGACCTGACGGATCGTCCTCCCGGGCGCGGTCACGTTGAAGGTCGAGCGCAGCTGATCAGACATGCTCCGCGTCATGTTGTGCACTATCTGCGTCATATTCCCGGATTTGAAAGCGGACCCGACGCCAGTCGGGGCGCCGAGTTGGGTTGTGAGTGAGAGTCCGTCGTAGAAGCTGCCGACGAAACGTGGCGAGAGGAAAAACTCGCTGATGGCAAATATGTCGGCGACGTTGATTCGGAGGACGGGCAGGTGGGTCTGGTTGAGCATGGTAGTGATGTACCCGTGGCCGCGAACAAATGTGGGGTCGCCCGGCGTCATCAGGATGTTCTCCTCAGCCCCAATTAAGAGCACGCCGCCCGAGACGGTGACATTTGAGAACCTTCGCGCTGCCAGACTGATGTCGCATTCGATAATTTCCATTTGATCCGGGTTGACAATGTAATTGGTTCGATCGCTAGCCGTTCTCAACATTGCCACCCTAACAATGTCGGGCCGCTCGGGTTTCAGAGGCGGCACAGGCCGTGTAGATGACCGTTCGCTGTACCAGCGAGAATCTTTCAGGAGAGTGGTTGAATTGACGCTGATGACGGTTTGCCAGGATGTCGGCGAAAACCCGACAGCCATGTTGACACCGCCAGGGGTGACAAGACTTAGGTTATCGACCGAGGTGGTCCAGTTTGTGAATATGGAACGATCGATAGAATCGAGGGCTGCTTCCGTGACGTTGTAGCAGGTGCTCATGAAGCCCAGAGAGACGTGTGGGCCATCCCAGGAGCAGGAACCAGGGCACCTGGAGAGAGTCGGAGAGTCAAGACCAAAGAGGCCACGGTAGATAGCCCCCTGCATCGAGACATCGACAGTCGAACCTGTGTATTTGAACTTGTGAACAAAGGCGGAACATGGCATGGTTCTACATGGCATGGTTGTGGGTTTAAGGACTAACCTTCGATCCTGGACTTGGCGGATGAAAGGTCAAGGCCCGCGGGAATCTTGGCACCGGTGATGTAGTCATGAGAAAGGCCGAGCACAGCCCTTGCGTCGTCAAAGGGGACGTCCCTGGTCTCCAGCCGCACCAGCTGCTGGACAAAGACGTCGAACCCCAGCGCCAGCACCGTCGCCAGGGCCCCGATGGTGGCCAGGCCCCACGGCCCGGCGCCCACCAGCTTCAGGCTGCCCATGGGCCCGCGGCTCGCCTCGTCGAAGCGGTCGAGGTCGCGCAGCGGGCGCGGCGCGGCGCGGAAGTGCAGCCACTTGGACTGGCCGATGCTGGCGGTGAGGGCAACAACGGCCAGCGACTTGGCCGCCGTGCTGAAGACGGCAATGGTCGCGGGCAGGCCGAGGATAAAGTCCCAGTTCGCCAGGGGGCGGCCGTTCATGCGCGCGAGGACGGCGACGATGCCCGCTGTGCACAGGACGCTGGCCGCGATGGCCAGCGTCTCCCACCACCATGGCCAGGGCTGCTTGCGCCTTCTCGACTGGGCGGACTCGCTGTCGCCGCTACCGTGTTCCTTGTGGGATTTTGCCCTCACGGCGCTCGACTTCATCAGGGGCGAGTCGAGCGGGCTATCGTATTCAGGGCTGCGGTTCATCTTTGCTGGGTCAGTACCGTAGAGCTTGAAGCTAAGGTTACAACGCAGGAGCGGCCAAAGCAATGCTCTCGAGGAGATGAAACTTTGTGGGCTTTATCTGCAATATTTATCGGTCGGTCAAGAATTTTGCGAGTGGGATCGGAACTTGAAACTCAGCCCAGGAGCAGAATGGGAGGCCTTGGAGCGGCCCCAATATCACCAACCTCGCAGAAAAGTCGTGTCCATCGACACGGCGCTAAACCCAGGCCCTCCGAACGCACCAGGCCCAATCACGGCCGCCCCCAACAGCCGAGCCACGGTGGCGGAACGCGCGCGGTTAACTGCAGCTGCCCCGGCGTATCCGGGTCGGGCGATTGGAGGGCGGCAGAAGCGCCAGGAGTGATGTAAGAGGTAGAGTGCAGTATGTGGCTACGCGCTGCCCAGCGTTGCCGCCGGCGAAGGCTCTGTAGCCGCGTGTGCCGGCAAGAATCACTGTTGATTTGGCGTTGCGATATGCCTGTCCAGGAAACACGGATGAAAAGTCCAGACCCAAGTCCACCTACCCTTTGACCTATCGGCATGCAAGAAGCAGCAGCACAGAGAGCGTGGCCCAGCGGGGCTGGGCTGCACCAGCTCCAGCCGGGCGCTGTAGTAGAGCGTTGACAGCCTGCGTAAGGCAGGCTACACAGTCGTAGAGCGCGACGTCCCGTCCCCCCCGGCGCCGCCGTAGTGGTGGCAAACAGGTGTCCACGTTCTGCGCAACGAGAAGCTCCCGCTCAAATCTACCGAGTCCTCGGGCGTCGCGCACTTGCGCTCGCGGTGCGCCAACCTGGCGGTCGCAGGTAGGGGCGCCAAGAAAGCCCCCGGGTACGGATCCCCGAGCCCGGACTGCACACTGCTTAAGCGCCAAGCCAAGCCAGGGCGGGGGAGCTTGCAGCTCAAGCCTGAACAAAGGATCCAGAGGTTTCTGGTTCGGACCAAGGCTGAGCTGTATTATCTACTGTAGCATCCAGCTCGGGCCTTGGGACAACTCCAGAATCAAGACTTGTTGCAGAGCAGTGCCTCCTTCAAACCCGGTTATTTCCCACCCCATCCCGCCCCCCTCGTGCCCCTAGATCGCAACGAGAACCAGCCGGCTGCCGACGAACCAGGTTCGCTTCGCCGGCCGCTTTCGACGTCCGCAGACCCGCCCGTCGCGGTAGAGCTCCCATTAAGCCTCCCCACCAGCCCCGCGTTTCCTACATTGCTGTGCTCTCGCCCCGGGGCGGAGAGCGCGGCACGGGCCGCAGCCGCCTCCATTGTCTTCGCATCCTTCTCTCTGATCTCGGCTTCTTTTTCTTCGGCCTTCTTCGCTCTGGCCTCCTTTTTCCGCACCCTCTCTCTCTGGAGCTTGCCAACCCACATGCTGGCTTTTTTCTCCAGGCCAGCCCCATAGGAATCCCAGAACACCCAGAACCCCATCCACTGAGCCAGCATGAGGAGCGGGATGCGGACCACGCATATTAATACGGCACGTACCCAGGCGTTGAACGCAATCAAGACGGAGATGGTGATGACGGCGGCGGACAGCGCGACTTTTCGTTGAATGGCATTTAGGAAAATTATTGGACCTGTGTTAGCACCGTCCGAGATAAAGCGGATGCCGAGAGCTCCGATGCCAAGAAAACCTACACATGTACTTGATCTGCTCGCCAAGTGTCATCCACTCATTGCCGGTACTGAGCTGGTTGTTCATGCCGAAGAAGCCCGCAAAGAAGCCGAGAGGCAGCTGTTGGTTCGCACAGTGGACATTCGTTAGCATGATACGCCCTGCCGCGCTTTCTGGTGGTATTCCCCACAGGGACATCCGGGGTGGATAGAGACCCGGGAATCCTTACAAAGAAGATGGTGACGATGGTAAAGGCCATGATGGATCGCCCTTGCTTCACAGTCTCGCTCGCACTCTCGAGCGCGGCCTTGGCCTCGACTATACTCGCCTGCTGTTGCTTGAGGGATAGTAAGCTCTCGATCTGAAGACACGTCCGGCGGGCCGAGTCTTCGAGGTCCTGGATCTCAGCCTGCCTGCTCTCGATGCTCTCCCGCAGCATATCAGCCTCCTGCAGGGTAGTTTCGAGCCACGGGCCCGGATCGGCGTTGCTTTCGTCCCATCTCGCTGACTGCATGTGCGGCATGGAGCTTGCAAGGCCGCCATCGCCGTCGGCCTCCTCCCGACTCAAGGCTCCAAGTATCCCGAACAGCAGCCTCAGCGTCTCCTTTTCCCCTCCTCGCCTGCACCTGGCGAGCTGGCCAAGGTAGCGCCGAAAATCCTTGACGACCTGCCACTGCTGAGAAAAGATACGGTGCATGATCTTGAGCTCCTCGGCGATGTCGCGGCCCTCACGCAAAAGGATCCCTGCTGGGTTGATGTCGAGATACCGCTGGCTGGTTTTCTTGCTTTCGCGCATCACGGCCCCTGCTGCACTGGTGTCGAGATACCACAGGTTGGTTTTCTTGCTCTCGCGCTGCTGGTCAGGTTTCTTGCTCTTGCGCTGCGTGTCGGACGAGGACGCCGGCCTCAGGCCCGACGTGAAGACCTCCCCCCGGGAAACCGACGCGTTGAACCAAAACGAGTCGTATGCGATGGAGGTTAAGTCTGTCTGCACGCCGGCGTCAGATTTCAGGGGGCCCAGACGCTGGGGGAGGGTATTGTAAATGAGGGGTACTCACGACGTTTCCGATAGCCGAGTTAAAAATATCAATAACCTCGGGCCGCTGGTCTAGGGGCTTGGTGCGGTCGAAAAACACATTCGAACACTGATCGATTATCATCAACGCCAGATGGTAGATGGAGTTGATTGTCGAGCTGTTCGCCAGGCGGTCCCTGAGGCACTTGTGCACTCCCGATGGGTCCGGCTTGTTTCTCCCCCATCGGCGAGGAAAAGAGGTAATGATGGTGTCTAGGATCGGCAGAGGGTCTGGTCAGCAGCCTGCCGTGTGCAAATAAAACAGTCACCACCTCGGTGTGCCTTTCTGGAACATACTATCATCAAGAATCCACAGCCATAGCTGGTCGACCATGACGACGCGGGTGCTCCGACCGTATGACCCCCTCCTATCCCAGGTCTCGCGGAAGACGACTTGATCCATGTCACGCACCGACGTGTCCTCGATCGTGGGAAAGTGGTATTGGTCCAGCGTGCGGCGGGCGTGAAGCGGTGGATCATTATATAAGTTCCCCTTGAGCAGCTTCTCGTCCATCTCGCTGTCAATAGATTCGGCTGCTCGAGCCAGCCGCAAAAGATATTTCCCAAGCTTGGTTCTGATTTCCCGCGGCCTGGTCTTCTCGACGACTCGATCGAGAGTCTTCCTCTCGATTGCCTTTTGCTTGGCCTCGGGGATTCCGTTTGCGTTGTTGATGGCTTGGACCATCTGCCTCCGTCTGCCATTGGCTTCCCAGTGGAGATACGGTATCTATATTGTGTTAACGTCATGACGGTGTTTGGGTCCTGCCGGCCGCCCGCTCGCTCCTTCAAGGAACGACGGACAGGATACCTACAAACAATGCAATATTTTCCTTGGTCTTCTGGCTGGTGCCGGTAGCATGAGACGATGTCTGGGGTGCTTTGTTCCCGCCTGTGTCTTGTGCGGACGGCGCTGCAGCCGTAGATGGCTCTGAGGACATCAATGACGCGTGGTCAGCAGACAGGTCGAGGGAAAGACAGTCCGAGGCATGTTTGAGCCTACTCCGAGGGATTAGGAAGAACCTGGATCGCATGTGTCTTGCATGGATTGGTGCCTTCTCGCCACTCCCATGTAGTTGCCCACGCCAAAATTCGCGGCATAGCAGCCTTTCGGCCTCCGACATCTCGCTGTGGGGCTTGATTCTGCAGACAAGATCCTCCTCCCCGTAATATCTCGCCATGGCTTTCTAGAGGTGTTTCAAGACGTTTTCTATTAGTAGGTACCCCGAAAACCCACTCTCATCACCGAGGAGAGACCTACCTCGACCCAACTCATGTTGTTTACTGGGAAGTGGAACCAGCGCAAGCACTTGTCCTCGCGTTTGGTCAATGGATTTCCCTCGTCCTTGTCCAGAAGTTTCTGTGCAGATATCTTCTGGTGAGGGAATTTACCACCCTTGTACCAGGCGTGGGGCGAGGCAAAGCCCTCCCACATGTCGCCATCAGGGCCGGACGGCTGCTTGAAGTACATGACTCTAGCCTTGAAGCCGCAGTCGGGTCCCAGAGGTTCCGGGGTTTTTGGGGCTTCTGTAGTTTCTGTTGCTCCTGGGGTTTCTGGGCCAAGGATACCTCCGGATGCGACAATGGGCTCTGGCGTCATGGCGTCTCCCCCCGGCTGGCATCTTGCTTGGCTCTCCAGCCTTCCCAGAAGCGCGCGGTATCTCTCTCGGTATCTGTCTCGCCTCTCCGGCTGCTGTCCTGGTTGTGTGTGCTTCTTCTCCACGTCGTTACGGCGCTCTGACAGGGTTGCATTGACCTCGCTCCTCCACTCCTCACGAGCCGTCTTGAGTTCCTCAAACATAGCTTGCTTGTCCGTGTACGTCTGGAACCGTCCCAGGGTCTTGTTGATGCGATCTATCTCACGCTTGACCTTCGTCCTGTTCGGTTCCTCCAGATTTCTCATGAACTCTTCACGCCTGCCGAACCTGATACTGAGGTAGGCGTTGGCAACATCGCCCGGGTAGCTGACGTCGTCCACGTAGCGCCAGGGCTGCTGGCCATACTGGACTGGGTTATCTTTTCCTTCCTGGTTCGAATACTGAGTGTCAATGTATCCGAAGTCCAAAAGCGGCTCTCCGTCGCCTCGTGCGTTGTTTTCGCCGGGCGTGGGAGGTGGCGGCTGGCGGGAGTGGTGGAGGGGGCTTTGTGTGGCCATGGCTACTTCTGGGATTACCAAATTCCGATGTGGTGCTTGAAGAACGAGGGTGGGCGCGAGAAAAACGTCGGGCGGCCTGGCGATCTTATGTTCTGCCGCATTGTCACAACACACCCTTTCATCTCCGGGTCTGCGGTATGCGTGTTACAGTGGCGTCCGTATGCTGACCAGGGGGGAGAATTGGGGGCGGCGCTTAGCGAAAGGGTGGTGTGAAGCTCACCAGCTCGTCAGCGATCCCGATTCTCGCAGCCCGACCTCGGCGTAGCCTTACCTCGATCCCTGCGAGGATTCGAGCGGGGTTGTGCAGCCGACCTCAGCGCTTGGCTGAAAGGGCCCGGGATCATGAGGCCAGAGTCGGAGCTAGGCGCTGCACGTCCGGCCAAACATAGAGGCTAGATAGATGCGCTCTAATAGGGCCTCGACGTAAATCAGCCACATTTTCGGGGACGGACTCAGCATACCTATCATACAGCAAGCATAGCGAGCTGCAGACGGCTAGGGCCATATCAGGGTGCAAGAGCGCCGAGCCTTTGATGCGGCCGAACGAATTCAGTATAGCAACCTGCATCGGATACCCCCTTGGACGCCGACAGGTTTCTGGAGGTCGGGTTGCCCGCTTTGGTAGTCGGCAGGCGGGCTGGCTTTCCAATGCTGCAGGCCGGCCCTAATGAGTGGGGGAGCGCGGGAGCCCCGGTACGGCTGTCACTCGCAGGAAGCACATCTCCCGAAGCCGATAGGAGCGGAAGACGAGATTGGGTTCATGGACTGGGTGGGTTCGGGCTGAAGGCGGGAAGGAAGGTAACACTGTAGGTCATGATTTGCAAGCGATGATTCGCAGCCTTCCCTCTCCCCTGTCGCCCCTTCCCAATCAATCAACCACCAACCTACACACCACCAAATGGCACACACAGTACAACTCCCCCCTCAATCCAACACCCCAAGCATCAGCGCCCCCGTAGCAGCCACCATGGGTGCGTACCCCCAGTGGCCCCACTCCTCGCCCGTGCCGTGTACTCTACACACGAGCCCGTCGATTCCAGCGACGGCGCCGATACCGAGCAACAGGCAGCCGAGCGTGGAGGCGTGGCCGTTGCGGGCGGCGGCAAAGACGGCGGCGCCCATGAAGACGTCGCGCGCCCCGTAGACGGCCACCAGCGCGTCGAAGGCGCGCCGGTCCGCCGACGTCTGGGGCGGTTGCGCGAGGCCGAAGAAGCTGAGGGCGTGCGCCGGCCGCACCGCCGCGTTGACGCCGAATCCGGTGAGGATGCCGCCAAATGCGTAGGCGGCCCAGAGTAAAAGGGGGGATTGCGAGAGGGGCGACATTGTGTGGATGGATGGATGGTTGGTCCTTGTCGTTCTGCCTGCGAGACGGAGCATCAGTGTTCGGGTCTTCAGGCAGGGAGGAACCGGGCCGTCTTACTGGGGAGAATTTTTTTTAAAAAAAAATTGAGTGGGCAAGATGTCAACTACACGTGTTGGGAGGGTGGCCAAAGTCAAAACAAGGCCTCACAGCCGCGCACGTCGTCTGCTTAAGAATTCCAACATCGAGCCGCAGGTCGGAGGTAGTGCTAGTATCCGAGCAGAATCCGAGGTTCTACAAGCACCCACTCCAGGCAGCAGGCGTCATTTTCGGGCTATCCCATATCCGTCCACATGATGCGTCGCGTCTCGCCCAAGCGATATCACGTATTTATGCATCTTCCAGGTGCAGCGGCAACAAATAATGTGTTTCTGTAGTGCGTTCCACCTCTGAGGGTATACTGCTAGCCTCTTAACTCCATCTGTATATAGGTCAACCATGATAGCAAAGTGAAATACATGTGCTGCGTTTATATGCTGTGATTAATGGCTATGCCCAGATCATAACAAGCCCGAGATGTAAAATGGGAATGTCCAAAAGCTCAAAATTCCACGACGCCACAAGATCACGACATGCACACAAACAGCAGCGCCAAGCCCGACGCAACCATAACTCCACCGAGACCCTCATTGGCTCTGCCGGCCGCGTTGTTCTTGCTCGAGCTACCGGTCGCCCCGGGCCGCCCTGGGACGGTGGTGGTGAACATGCCGCTCCCGTCGCAGTTGGTGCAGCCCTCGCCGTCGCCCGACAGCGTCGGCTTGGACCCTCCCCTGGTGGGCGTGGCGGTGCAGCGGCCCGTCGCGGACGGCACGGCGTCGGTGCCGGTCCCGATGGACGAGATGCCCTGTGACCCGCAGTTGGCGGCCTGGGCGAGGTGGATGTTGCGGTTGTCCTGGTCGTAAACAACATACGCGGCCCTCAAAAAGCTCGCGCCCAGCACGGACTCGCCGCGGTCCGACTCGATGGGCAGGACGCCCAGGACGCACGTGACGCCCGAGGCGCGCCAGATGAAGTCGGCGAACGAGACGCGGATGCGCTTGGCGCTGCTGCCGGTGCCGAAGCCAAAGTCGACGGTGCCGCTCGTATCGCGCACGCTGCAGCTGACGACGTAGAAGCCCGTGGCCCGGTCGTAGCGCGCCCCCGGGAAGCTTTCGCCAATGGCGCGGAACATGGCCGCCGGCAGCCTCGAGAGCGTGCCGCCGCTGTCCAGGAAGACAGGCTCGCCGCTGGAAGTGGATGCGGACAGGAAGGCATTGGTCGACTTGCCGTCGGCAGCCGTGACGGTCAGCGACGTCATGTAAACGTAGTACCGGTCCGCGCCGCGAGGCGTGTCAGATGGCCGAAGGATCGGGAGTTTGGCAAGGCTGCCGATAAACTTGGTGGTGTCGACACCGCCAAAGATGACCGCGCCTGTGCAGACAAAGGATGAATAAGCTTCGTGCCTCAAAATTGCGTATTGGACCACAGTTATACAAGTACGACATACCGCTGGGGCTGTCAACGCTCCTCAGGTCCAAGCTGAAGGCCCGACTCTTGATCTGGCCCTGCTTAGCTAGGCTGTCCAGCACGAAGGGATAGTCGACCGACCGAGACCCCAGTTTAGGGCTGAGACCGAGAATCCCCATGGGGATGTCGTAGCTCGAGGTCGCAAAGCCAAATATTTGATCCCGAATCTTGGTTCCGGCTACAAAAAAAAGTTAGTACCGGGTACAGACGAGCCGTAACGACACCAAAGGTGACCGATCGCAATACGCCAAAGGACCTACACCCAATAGTTATGGTATCGGCAATGTAGCGCAACGTCACGTTGCCCTTGCCATACTGGATGAACCCTGTCGAGGACGCGTCCTTCACCGTCGAGCTCCGCGACGTGGTGTACTTGGGGAATTGGTCACAGAACCGCCTGCTGCTGGAGCGCGTGCAGTCCGGGTTGACCCACAGCTCAGACGACCCCGTGTCGATGATGACCTCGACACGCTGCGCCGGCGTCCCGATCCCGAGATTGATCGAGTAGATGGTCCCGTCTTGCAGGTTGTCGAGCGCCACCTCGGCCTGCCTGGCCCTCAGCAGCACCTCGGTCACGTCGCGCCGCCGCGTCGCGCTGCTGTTGCCGCCGCCCTCGTCGTCGTCGAGGGGTGACCGGCTTCGCGAGGCGTGTACGGGGAACCTGATGAAGCCCTCGCCCACCTCGGCGTCGTCGACAAGGGAGGGGGTGGAATCCGCGCCGGCGGCCCGCACAAGGCCGGCGGCGGCCGCGCTGGCGAGCAGCAGCCTTTGCAGCGGGGCGAGCATCTCGGAATGCAACGCAGGGAGAGCCCGATACACCGTTCCCCAGGATCTTCTGGCCCGAGAGCTGAGACGTGGTCGTGTCAAGGTCTCGGGTTAATTTGTCTGTCCCCCGTCCGAACCTTGCACCGATTCCGGGCGGCCCACCGCAATTTGCCCGCGAGGTCTCGATTGAAGCTGGGTTGTGTTCGGGAGCCTGGTGGTCGCAAAGCCCGTCGCTGTGGCTGTCGGGCAGAAGCGCTATCACGAAGCAGTCTGCCGCCGGCAACTCAAGACTGCACACTCGATGGACAGGTGCGAGATGGAAAAGAGCAACAGCGAAGAAGGAAAAGAACGGAACGCAGACAAAACCACACCAACGACGGGCTGGGCCCTGAGTGGGGAGGAGATTGGCGAGCAGGGGATCGCAAGGCCTGATGGTGAGACTGCCCCGTCCAAGGGCCTGGGCAGAGGGCTAGGAGCGCCTCCCGCCGCCCCGTCCAGGCCGTGTGCACGCGTTAGGCCCGACCTCGCAGCTCTAGTCCCTTGGCTGGTGGACAGCGCCAAGCCAATAAAGGGCTGCCGCCGGCCAACAGCAGGAGCTGGGGCTAGAGATGGCGGGCATGCCATGGCCGAGATCAGCCCGCAACCTCAGCCGCAGGTGGAGAAGGTGGAGAAGACTGCCCCAAAGAGGCTGTGCAATTTCGCCCCCTGCGGGACTGATTGCACACCACAGACGCCGTCGGGGTGCTCTCCCTCCAGTGTTGTTGGTTTGTCGATTGGTTGGGTTGGACAACTATCGCATTGTCTTTTTTTTGCCTGGAGCGATTACTGTTTGACCATCCAAAAGGCTTGAGAGGAACCTCGAGGGAGATCAGTAGCCGGCTACTTACCGCCCCACACATCCACACAGCTCCACCCAGGACCCAGGACCCAGGAGGACTCGTACTGTGTACACATTCCGTGCGCATCCAGCGCCGCTTTTTCGGAAAGTTCGGCCGGCTGATTCTCTTGATTCCCCCATGGATGCCGGGGAAAAAAGCGGGGCGCTTGCTGCCTTGGTCTTTGCTGTTGCCCACTGACTCTTGCAGCATCTTGTCAAGGCTGGGCAATTGAGGAACGCACGTGGGCGCTTGTGAAGTGAAGCGCGTTGCACGTGGCTTTGGTCAGAGCCGCCACAACTGACTGACAGATCAAATGACTGACAGATTGTTCACGGCTCTGCTAGAGAAAAGAAGCTCCGAGGTGGCAATCGTCACAAGGCTTGTTTCCGGGATCAGATGGAACGGCGGTTTGTCACATTTCACGCGCCCAAGAACAAGATTTAGGCGAGTAACACCGACAGCTCCCACCCAACTCGATTTGGGTGCAACTACATCAGGGAATCTAGGTACCGCATAACCGCCGTCCCGTCGGGAGTTCCCGCGCACGGTGCACTCGCGGGACGGGTTCCCCAGACATAGGAACCGATGGTCGACACCTCCGAGGCCCAAGAACCATGATGCATGGCGAGCCCAGGACCTCGATGGACAAGGTCCCGGCCACGGGGAAGGTGACGACTCGAGACCGGCCATGTTGCATGGTACCGGGCTCTCCATTAATCGCACGAGATTATTACCAAAAGCGGTATTTTCATTATTGTCTACTCAGCCCGCACATGGCCAACAACACATGGCACCCAGATCCACGGGGAGCCCCCTCACGACTCGAGAAGCCAAAACCCTCCTCTCATATCCCATATCCATCAGATCCGGTCGTCCAGACAGGCAGACAGACAGACAAGACAAGACACCTCACGTCAGCCACCCGCTCGTGACCCCGTCCCACAGCTGCTCGCGCGGGCAGCCCATCTGGCAGTGGACCCCGGCGTCCTTGCGGCCGGGCGACGCGACCTCGATGGCCTGGGTGATGGAGTCGCTGCCTGCAGTGAGAACTTTACTGAATTGGACTCGTGCGCTGCCGTCGCCGCCCAGCGCGTCGACCCGGCACTTGAACAGCATGTGCAGGCCACCAGACAACGGCTTCAGGTTGTCGAGCAGTCCCTGTGCTCGAATACATTAGTATGGAATAATAGAATAGGACGTGTGGTTCCAAACCTTGTGGCATCCATCAGGCTCGTCGCCCCAGCCCTTGGTCCACACGTTCACCACCATGTGCCGGTCGCCCGTGGGCATCGCCTGGGGTATGAAGCCCTCGAGGCAGCAATAGGACCCGGACTTGCTGGTCGGCGAGAAGATGGGTGGTCTGATGATGACGACGCCGCCGCCGCTTGGGGTGGCGGTCACGGTCACGGTGGCGTTGTTGGTTTTGGTGACGGCGGGCAGGGCGGCCATGACGGTCGTGGTGGCGGTGGTGACATTGTTGCCGACCGCGCAGTTGCAGCTCCCGCTTTCGGTCTTGGTGACGGCCAGCACGGCGGTCACGGTGCTGACGATACTGGCGGTCGTGGTGGTGGTGACGGCTAGCACGGCGGTCGCGGTGGTGGTGGCGGTGGTCTCGGCATCCGTGTCTTGACGACGCCCGAGCGCGATGGCGAGCATGCCAGCGCCCGGGCTTGCCGAGGAGGGGGAGGCGGACAGGGCCGCCGCGCGGGGCAAGAGCACCGCCTTGGCGTGCGCCGCGCTCGGGGCCGCGGCTAGGGCGGCTGTCGCGTATGCGAGGAACCGCATATCGAAAAGGGGTGTGTGAAAGTACTGCTTGTGATGCTTCAACTGGGCAACTTGCCTGGCTAGGTTGGCACCTCTGATAGGCTGGTGTTTTCCGTCGGTCTGATCCTTGGCATATTGCATCTTTAGATCGGAGGCTGCGCCCACGGCCTCTCAAATATATAGGGCTGCCATCCTTCTCAAAAGTTATCGCCACTTTGAGCGTAGTTCTTAAAAAAAAAACTTGTTGGCGCCAGCGAAGGTCAAAAAAAGTTCACTTTGTGACTTGCGCGGCTTTCACCTCTCGCGAGACCCCATGGGGCTTCGTCTGTCTCCAAGCCTCGTCGTTTTGACTTTTGAAGGCGCCGTCGTCCTGAGCCACACATTCGTCTATAGCAACCTTTGGGTGAAAACCCCTTTGGGTGAAAACCCTGCGTTTGAGCTGACCTCTAGATGAGACGGGCACAAGGGCCGCGGTGAGACCCCCCTCTCTATTCGTGAATTTGCAGATCGAGGCAGGTCAGGGCTGTTGACTCCCCGCAGACATTATGCCACACCGCGGGGAGTTTCTTCCTCTCCCTCCCCGGGGGCAGTTTGTGTTACCTCGTCCCACCTGTTGGCCGCAATCTCGCATCCCCCGAGGTCAACAATGATGCATCCTGCAGGAACAAGGTAGGATCTGTACAAGGGAGATGCAACGTTTCCAGATCCCCACTCCCTCGCTATGCGCCAATGACCCTAGCAGCTAGGCGAGTGACATCTAAGACGAAAACGAACACGCGCAGGGGGCGGAGGGCATTGCAGGGTGGGGATGAACAGGTTTGGGCCAATGATGCTAGACGACGTACAAGACCCTGCATGCATTATCACTTGGAGTTCAGGGTTGGATGAGAAGGCGAAATTTCTTTTCTTCGTTGATTTCTTTTGTTGATACTTTTTTTTCTGTCGGTGTATGTACATAGAAATTGACCATGATACACAAGAACTGTGAACCAACCAGAGCCCCTTGAACCAAAAAATATCATACATCCAGCCCACCCCATCATTAGCCGTAGCCATAGTCGTAGCGGGGGTCGAAAAGGTTGTTTGCAGCCCAGCCACTGTCGGGCAGTGAGCCGGGAGACAAGACACCCAGAATCATGTAGAACGAAGGCGCAAAGCGGCAGATACAACGAAAATACAAAAGAGCACCCTCCCCCGTCGCGTCCTTATAGCCGATCCCCAGTCTGGACCGATATCTCGGTCGTCCTCACGATGCGGCCCGGTTGTGACTGGCTCTGGAACTGCTGCTGCGGCTGCTGCGGCTGCTGCTGCTGGTAGTAGTACTGCGGCTGCTGCTGCTTCTCGGCGCCCTGCGCGCCGCCGCTGGGGTCGGCCGAGGCGTTGGCGTACATGCTAGCGGCGATGCTCGCCGGCGTCGTGAGCTCGCCGAGCGCGAGCTCCTCGGTGCTGATGCTGGCGGCGCGGTTCCGGTTGCTGGCCGACGACGTCATGCCGCCGCCCTTGCTGCCGCTGAAGTTGGTGGCGCGCGGGCTGGCAAGAGTCGAGCCGCCATATCTGAGATAATTAGATCTATCTTTAGATGGGCGCGTGAGGCCGAGCCCGGGCAGGAGGCGCGCAAGCAGCGGCCGCAGGGTCGGCAGGCTGGAGGCGATAATAGCGACGTTGAGCTCGATGCAGGACCAGATGGCCGCCCCAATGTTCTCCCACGACGGATCCAGGCTGTAAACGGCCGAGTGGAGGGTGAACAGGCGGTAGACGGAAACGATGCAGACACTGTAGGAATAAAGGAGGGATTGTTAGCACGAGTCGATTCGATTTAGAGTGCCATCTCCACCGCAGTACTGTGGAAAGGATAGGCGTCGATTCCCGGGATGCTTGACTTACAAGAAGCCCAGGCAAAAAATGCCCAGAACCATTATCTTCTGCTTAAGAGGAAGCTGAAGCTTCCACACCGACGGCAGTGGGATGCAGAAGATGGCGACATCGGTAGCCATGCTCGTGCCCGAAGAGATGTACCAAGTGGTCAAAGTCTCTAGGCACTTGCCTGCCATTGAAGGGAAAATAAATTGGAGAGGCAGGCAAGCGAAGCCTAGCAAGAGGCCCTGGACGACAGCCCAAATGCAGACGCCGATGATGGACCAGAAGCAAATCTTCTGAATCATGGAGTTCTGGAAGATGCGCCTGAACTGGAATAGGAAGCCAAGCTTGACCACGTTCATGCCCAAATTGTAGAGGATGATACTGCCAAAGAGGTACTGTGCAAAGAAAAAAACGGGCCGTACGTTAGCCTGCCATCAATACGATAATGAATGGGAATGGGGTTTGTTCGAGTAAATGCATACATGTAGCTGAACCAGGCTCTCTTCTGGTTTGACTGCCTCTGTGTGTTTGCCCATGCCATACTTGACCTCAAAGACCATGCAGATCGAGTTGGCAATGGAAAAGGCCTAAGTCCACGTCGGGTAGCTGTCAGATGCTAGTCCTGCAGATATGAAGCGCAGGTCTAAAGGCCGTGTTTGGAGGCGGCAGACTTACAACCGCGACTAGCATGGCCCAGTCGTCGGCGCCGATCGCCTTGAGAATCGTTCCGCGCGTGTAGAAGCGCAGGGTGGTGAAGATCAAGGCGATGGCGCTGAACGTGTAGGCGACGGTGGTGACTATCGGACCATTCGTCTCGGTCAGGAGCTTGGAGGTTGGGTCGGCCATGGTTTCGGTGGGTGTTTGTTCCTCGTGTCTTGTTGCTTCCCGGGTCGCAGGCCCGTTTGATATTGTCCAGTCGTGAGGTTGGAGAGCGTCAAAGTATATGCGCACGTCGAGGCCGCAGGCTTCCGAAACCCCGGTTTAGTTGGCCGTCAAGGAGGGCATGGGATTCGGAGCTTTCCCCTCGCGGTCAGACAGACAATTGCGGACGGGCCACGCAGCAGCAATCGGCAAAGTTCTCTGGAGAGGGATTGGCGTGCTTATAATCCCCGTCGTGGCTCCGAGCGAGGATGCTAGTGAGATCGATCGTGGGGATCTGTCCCGTACGAGCCACCCCTGCAGAACGCCCTGAAGCGAAAGGGGGAGAGGGGTATGTGTGATGTGTGATGGCGCGCGTGTGCGATTGAGAGGAAGAGGCAGGATACGTTCGGCTTGGCATGCAAGTTGAGGCTCGCTCCACTGGACGCATGCACGTAGGGGGCAAGAGCCGGATGTGCGCTCGCGGCAGTGGCCCCGGGATTTAACCAGCAGATTCAAGCAGGCAGGTAGCATCACGGTTGGGTCCTGCGCGCCTGGGCTCGCCTGAAGGTAATGCGACGTTCATTTTATTCTCCCTATCGGTCTGTTATCCGAAGTACAAGGGGCAGAGCAGGAAGGAAACCGTGGTGGGTGGAAGCAGCTGACGTCCCTATTTTCCTTAACTTTCACTCCCAGTCAGGTCCAGGCTCTCGGAGATTCATATGCGGGTTGCGCTGGGTGGCCGGTATCACAAGGGGCAGTTACGTAACCACTGGAGAAGAGCAGGCACTGACACAAGGAGGCGGCGGCTCGGTCAACTTGCGAGGGCTGTGGACGACGGGTGGGTAAATTACGCCTCATCCTGGTTTCCATGTCGTTTCGGTACCAACTATAGGGAAGTAGGATATTAAACGTTACGACTCGCAGATCCTTCCTAATTAGGCCACGTCCCAACTACATTTTTTCCTATAGAAAAGCCTGCCAAATCGATGTATCGCTACCCTGCTAACCAGACCTACAGCGTAACGTTTAATATCCTACTTTCCCTGTAGGTACCGCAAAAACTGGCTATTTCGAAGATAGGACCACCGTTTCTTGGTGGGTTTAGCAGGGATTCTGAGGCTAAGCATGCGTCAGGCCATATGTTTCCCGGTTATCTGGCCGTGCGATCTGTGTTTTCAACACTGAATCTGACGGTAGAGTCGAACGGGAGGAAACAGTGCGCACCGAAAATCAGTACTCTATATTGGGCTAGAATAAGCCAAACACCCCATAAAAAAACAGTGGTCCTATCTTTGAAAATAACGAATTTTTGCGGTAGGCCGACGACGGGGAGGCAAACAGGTCAAGTTCAAGGTGCCGCCGACAAGCTCATACTTGGCGGCATTAGCACATTAGATTGCGCCTTTGCCGCTCGGGCATCCTCTACTGCGGGGGAGGTATTTGCCAAAGTGCTTGCACGGGAGAGCCCAAGACATGCACCTGTGGCTTACTATGGTTACATGCCGTCGGCAAGGACTTCCTGCTCGCCTGGGGTGCCCCTTTTGTCGAGAATAACAGAGCCAGCAGTGCGACACTCGGCGGACGAGACGCCAGAAAGAGAATGGCAAGAAAATGACGAGGGCTGTGATGAGATTGCACCATGCCTGCAAGACAGGGAAACTGACTCGGGTCCGTGCCCTGGATGGGATGGGGTACCAGCATCCCTGTCGCTAAGGCCTGACGTTTAAACCGGTCAGGAAGCGCCAGGTGCAAGACGACAGACACCGCCGCCAGCCAGAAGAAATTGGGATAATGCTAGGTTGCGCCTTTATCGCAGGCCTCCTGAAAACGCACATGACTAGGCGTCCATCTACCTAGCAATCGACTCGGGGTGGCTCCTTTGCGCTTATCTACTGGGAACTTGCCGTGTGCCGGCCGGGCGGCTGTAATTCTCCGAGAGGAAGATGGCGAGGAAGGATAGAGACTAGAGGGCACGCAGGAAAGAGGCAGGCAGGAGGTCGGAGAAATGACTAGCGTATATGGCATGGCAGCGGGTGCTACCCCAAAAAGCCCCGGGAGGCAGAGACAGAGAGTTAGAGGCAGGATCATGTCGCTTCCTCGCAGCGCTGGGTACGAGACCAGATACGAAACCGCGTCCGAGGAGGGGCTTTCAGGGCTGCCACCGGATTTACCATCCGACCAGTGGCTGGGTAGCCTGGATGGCGGCACTCCAGCAGTCTGTTCGCAGTAGCATCAAGACCCATTGTCTGTGGGTATCCAAGAGAGGGAGATCCAAGAGAGTGAGAGATGAAGATCACTTGTTATGCTTGTTTGCGAAGCCTTTCGACTTGCCGCATCAGGCGGACACGCCGAGTGCTACGGTGGGTTATCTTCTCCGCGGAAAAGGCCGTTGTGGCACCGTCCTGCAACTGGACTGGAGACGGTGGGCGACAAGAGAAAAAAGAAACAACTCCTCTTTTCGTCAACGGCGGGGCGGAGCACCGGGGATGGAAGCTCGACCGCCAAAAGGACTGTCGGAGTGCGAGTGTGGGCTGGGGCTGAATAGGTGGCGCAATATTCCATGACGGCCCGAGACGCCCAGCCACTAAGAGGTCCTTCAAAGGTGGCTCCGCTTAGGCGAGAACGGTGGGCGATATCACGTGATCCCGTAATGGAAACGAAGCGGGGGGAGCGGATTTTTTTTTCTTGGCTGGCACTCTGGCTTTGGAAACACGCGCTGCTCAGGCAGGAGGCACGACGATGGAGATTTCTGCATGCGCACTCCACCCCCCATCCACCCTTCGGACAACAGTTGCTTGTATGGGCGCCGCCCGACCTGCCGCTTCCCCGCTCCAGATGTCACCCCCTGCTTCCTCCTTTTTCGCTTACACAACGAGCCCCTATTTCGCGCCGCCATTATCTGGGCACCCTTCCCATTAACATGGACGGAAATTTACCTGTTGAGGACCCCGAGCCGTGGCTGGGGGTGCTGTGCCAACTAGTCCCGACCCAATCTTGGGCACTTGCCCGATCCGAGGTCGTATCCGGCGTCGTCGAAGTGTATCCTCTCTGCAGCACACCGCTACAGGAGGTTGCGCGAGTGTGCGTCCCAAGACTCCTAGTACGATTTAGCCGCGCTGTCTCATTGTGATTGCGGCGGGGTTTCGCTCTAGAGCCCGGGCCACTGTTGAGCCCTACTGGTCCCCTCTCCTCCCTTCTCCTCTCCTGCTCCTCTTCTGCTCCTCTTCCCCTCCTCTCCTCCCAGCCTCCACCAACCACGGCTGTCTGTGGGCCAGAACTACCCACTGTCTGTGGTTTTCCCATCCCGGGAAGGCGCTCCGGCCACCAACAGCGCCGACCGGCTACATAGCCATGTACCTTGTGCGCATTCTAAGCCCGGTGGGGTACACAAAGGCGCTGTAATGTGGTGTTGATGTCCTGCTGGGTGCGCGCGTCCTCGACTCCTCGGCCCCTCTTCTCAACGTGAGGGGAAGGCAGAGAAGTCTTCCAGAACGGCTCTGGTCCTCGGCAGGCCCGCGCCTGCATTAACTTCAATATTCGTCCGCCTCCACCTGCCCGCCTTGGACCTGCAGCGCTGCGCCCTCCTGCAGCTCCCTCGAGTCTCGCTAGCAGCCTTGTCCTCTGCATGATACAAGGCCATGATACAAGGCCCTGATTCCAGTCCGGACAGGCTCTCGTTCGGAATTAAACCGACCCGCACCATGGAGGCTCTGCAGCCGGTAGCCGACCCCCTCGGACATGGATTATTATCGATGCCAATCTGACTGTTTTGTTTGATTGCGTGTTGAACTTGGGGAGCACTGCCCGGGTGAATGGGGTGTTCCCAGCGGCTCCAGCAGCACCTCCCAGCGCCATTGGTCGGCGCGCCAGGGGGCCCAGGGGTTCGCGTTCTCCTTTGGGACCACCAGACTCCACCCAGAGCTGCCGCCGCCGTGTGGGCTCTGGTGCCAGGAAGCAACAGCGTGTCCTGCCCCGCATGCAAGAGAAGGCCAGCCAGCTTCCTTTCGCTTCCGCAGAAGCTCCGGCACGCGGACATGCCGGCCCACCACGCGACAAGCTGGCCTGGGCGGCGGCCCTCGTGGCAGGCTATAACCTAGACTATTCCCGTCCGTCACAGCTCCTTCTGCCTCTCCTTCGCTCGCACTACCGGCTAAACTGTCACTCTTTTACATCTTCCCCTTAGCCACCAGCAGCAACAATGAAGTTCTTCCAGTCCGGTATGGCCCTCGCGGCCTTTGCCGCCGTCGCCAGCGCCCAGAAGCAGCAGTCCTACGACTACGTAAGTCATCGTACCCGTTTCCTGACACGCCAACCCTTGACATGCCTGCCGCGCTCGTGCGCCAAAGGTGAAGGGTTTCCGAAACTTTAGCCTCTAACACCCTTGCTTCTTCCCCCTGCATAGGTCATCGTGGGCGGTGGCACTGCCGGCTCTGCTCTGGCCACGCGCCTGAGCCAGGGTCTCCCCAACGCCAGCATCCTCCTCGTCGAGGCCGGCCCTTCGGCCCTCGAGGACCTGAGGATCAACGTCCCCGGCATGCGCGGTGCCATCCTGGGATCCGAGCTCGACTGGAACTTCACCACCGTCGCTCAGACCAGCCTAGAGGGCCGCTCCATCGGCGTCAACCGCGGCAAGGTCCTCGGCGGCTCGTCCGCCATGAACTACCTGTGCTACAATCGCGCGTCGGCGCCCGAGTACGAGGCCTGGGCCGAGCTCGGCAACGAGGGCTGGGGCTGGGACGCCATGAAGGGCGGCATGACCAGGTCGGAGAACTTCACGGGTGTCGATAACGACCTCCACGGTCGCGATGGTCCCATCCGCAACCTGTACAACAGGGTCAGCTACCCCGTCATCGACATGTGGACGGAGACGTCGGCCAACGCCGGCTTTCTGGTCACCGAGCGCAGCAGCATGGGCGGCGACAACATCGGCATGACCTTCCAGCCCACCAACATCCACAACGAGAAGAAGACGCGCTCGTACTCGGCCAACAGCTACCTGCCCCTTGCCGGCCCCAACCTCGAGGTTGTCACCAGCACCCAGGTCGAGAAGGTCAACCTGGTCGGCTGCAAGGCAGGCCGGTTCAGGGCCAGCGGCATTACCCTGCCAGGAGGCAAGGTCATCAAGGCCGCGCGCGAGGTCATCCTCTCGGCCGGTGCCGTCCAGAGCCCGGGGCTGCTCGAGCTCTCCGGCGTGGGCCAGCCCGAGGTCCTCAAGGCCGCGGGCGTCACGCCCCTCGTCGACCTCCCCGGCGTCGGCGAGAACTACCAGGACCACATCCGCGTGTCCAACACCTACGAGCTCAAGGACGACGTCGACTCGTTCGACAACCTCATCTTCGACAACCAGGGCAAGAACGCCACGGGCGAGCTGCAGAAGTGGCTCTCAGGCGAGCGCTCGCTCTACGAGTTCACCTCAAAGGCCTACGGCTTCCTGACCTGGGAGCAGCTCGGCGTCGCCGACAAGATGAAGGCCGCCGCCGCCGCCTCGGCCAAGGACCACGTCGTCGACAAGAAGAAGCTCGAGTACCTCGGAAACTCCCGCGTGCCCTCGGTCGAGTACATCCTCGACCCCAACTACGTCGGCGCCTTCGGCTACAAGGGCGGCAAGTACGTCACCATCTTCAGCACCGTCATGCACCCCATGTCGCGCGGCAGCGTGCACATCGACCCCAAGGACCCCAAGGGCAAGCCCACCATCGACCCCAAGTACCTCGACAACCAGTACGACGTGCAGGGCCTGATCGAGGGCGCCAAGACCGCCCGCAAGCTCGCCGCCACCGAGCCGCTCGCCTCGGCCCTCAAGGCCGAGACGGAGCCCGGCCCGGCCGTGCAGACGGAGGAGCAGTGGGCCGACTTTGTCCGCAAGGCCGCCAACAGCTTCTTCCACCCCTCGGGCACCGTCGCCATGCTGCCCCGCAAGGACGGCGGCGTCGTCGACGCCGACCTGCGCGTCTACGGCACCACCAACCTGCGCGTCGTCGACAACAGCGTCATCCCCATCGTGCCCTCGGCCCACATCCAGACGACCGCCTACGGCATCGCCGAGGTGGCCGCCGCCAGGATCATTGCCGCCGCCAAGCGCTAAGCAGACAATATTTTTGCCCTTGCCCCTGCTGTCTATCGGCCTCCTTTCCTTGTGCCTGCTGTTTGTTGATGCCCCTCCTTACCCGAGGGTGACATGCGGAATGCTTTTGCGTGCTTATTTGCGTGTTCTTTTTGGTGGCCAACTGGAGCGTTCTCTTCGAATTTGTACACATACCCCTAGACGCGTGATGTCCTACGCCCTTGCCATCTATACCTATCTAGTCACATTCGCATTTACTTAATGCAAGCATTTTTGTGTCTGCCACGTCTGGTTTTCCGCCATCTCAAGTGACCACCCTGTGTTGTAGTGAGGCCGTGATCAGCATAGCGCTGGGCCTTTGGATTGTAAATCTACAACATCTTTTTTGTCCACCTGCCATGCCGTCGATTCTTCCGCATCTGCTCCCCTCCATCACCACTATGTTCGTTTCGACAGCCGCCGACTTCTTTGGAGAAGATTTGCTTCAGCCGCCCCAATCTTTCACAATTTCGGGAGATACTTGGAGTGCCTGTTCGCGTTTAAAATAAACAATGCATCCATAAGAGGTAGGTACGCATATATCCAACTTGGCGGGTTTGACACGAGTGCAAGCCAAGGGTTGAAATCCCACAACAACAAAAAAAAAAAAATCCCAAGCAAACAGGGTACCTCCCCCTACAACGAACACATATGCCTCCAACCGCTCAGCTCACTCCATCACGACCGCGCGCTCCCCTGCGTCGCCCGGGTACTCCAGCCCTCGCACCCGACGTCTCCAGGCGCGGCCCACAAAACTTCCGAGTGCCGGCCGGGGCCGTGGCCCCCTGGGGCGACGCGATGCGGGGACCAGGGATCTTGGGCCGCCGACTGGGACAGCCAGCGGCTCATGCAGTGTCCGGCGGCCTCGGCGACTGGGCTGGCCTCGGGTGGCGGGCCGTAGTGGATGTCTGCCGGCGTCGGTTTGGTGTTGGCGGGCATCGGATCCGCGGTGCGATTTGGCGCGTCAAATCTGGCTGTCCTGGTTCTAGAAGCTGCCATCCGCGTTAGGTAGTGGACGGGAGGGTGAAAACAAGCTGTGGGGGGTCTCACGGGCGGCTTACAGATGTCTCGCGTCCCTGTCGCCCGAGATATGGCAGTGCCAAGAGCCTCGTTAATTTATTGTGTCTGTCCCTTCTT